TCGACAACTATTGGTAATTAATTTCCCACTTAAAGGCATTTTCAAGCCCTTTCGTTTTGAGGGAAGTTCTAAATTATTATTAACTTTCAAATGCCGTTGGAATTTAACCTTTTCAGTTTGTTCGTCTACATATGGGAAATAGTACTTTAAAGTGGCCTTATGTTAAAGAGAAGGTTCATTGAAATTTGAAAAAAGGTAAATAATACTTTTACAGATTGCTGAGTTTCTAATTGTGTTATGACTCGATCAAAGCGGCAGATCACCTAATTCGTGTCGGTGACGAATTCCATATCTTGTTTCTACTGTACAGTAGTCAAATGGGAAACAGAAGATTAAAGAACTATGACTAGGGTTTCTTTTCTTTTTTGGGCTATGATTTTCATGCATTAATTATATTAAACAAGCAATGTTTTGTATTATTACAGAGGATGACAGATTTCGTATGATTTTCGTACGCAGCATTTTGAAATATCAAAAATGGTTAAAGAAGTGCAGGCATTTGGAAAGTAAGGATCGTTCATATTTTCGTAAACTCTCGAAACAAACAAAAAGATCCCCGTTGCACAGAGTTGATAAATTGAAGTTGTTTTGATACTTACCGCGCACCAGTGTTGTACGGGAGCCTCGATAAAGATATATATCAACTCAGCCCACGAAATCGTAAACTTGAAAACATCAAGAATAAAATAAAGACGGTGTTGATATTTTCCAAACTCGCCAACAGTCGTCAAAATGTCGTCGAACTTCATTGCGATATTAAAAAGGAAAACAAAATAACATAAACGGAACTCTAAAGGAACTCGAAGTGAACTGCTTGCCGCAAACGTCAGATTAGTTTATCAATACCTTCTCAGTGGATATTCGCTCTTTTGTTGTCTCACGCTTATCTGCTTTTGAATAGCTGTCGGATTCTTCGATGAATCATCAATCAATGGTGCTAATTTCCCGCATCCCCGAATGAAACCACCTAAATGCAGGATGCTATGTTGTCGCGTGGTTTTATTTATACAGAGTGGCGTAGGTCCAGACATTGGGCGCGCGCCCCGATTTCACGGATGAGAGGTGGTGGAGGTATAGGGGGGATTGGTCTTAATGGTGACTACGCAGTGGCCTCAATCCTTTCCAAGGAGAAGAAAGTTGATCGTAATCTGGTGCCGAATTTATTTTTGTATTACTGCCGTTTGTTTGTGCTGCTGCTGCAGTTGTTGTTTGTCGTTGTTTTTGTTTTCGTTGCGTGAACACACACACGGACACAGACACACAATTACACTCACTCATGCTAACGAAATTAACTCATTACAGGATAATCTAAACTTATTTGTAGTATACTAGAAGTGTCTGAAAAACAGTTTCACTAGTGTAAGAGACATTTATATACATGTTGTCAAAATATATGATTGATTTTACAAATAATTTTCGTCCTTCAAGTCTGTGGAGGTATATTTGTACAGGCCGTCCCGTCGCCTTAAATCAAGAAAAATTAAATAGAGGGATAGTCTCTCTCTCTCTCTATTCATCTTCTCGTTTTCTTTCTGTATTCGCCCTTTAATATTTGTTAAGGGCCATGCCCTGTCTGCATGTGCCCCCTTTCCTACGCTACTGGTTTCCATTCCCCTTTGTATTGGCATGACTCCACATCATTGTTTACAAAAGTTCTTGCGATAGGATAAGGGTGACACCGTCTCCCTTCTCTTTCTCTTTTGGTGTCTGCAATTGCTTAAGTAAATATTTTAATAGCTTGCGAAATCTTCATGTGAGAGAATACGTTTGAAGATTCGTATTCTGCGTTTCTTATGTTAGCAATCAAAGCTTGAAAAGCAAATATTGTTTTATGAAGGATTTATATGCTATAAATCCAAAGCAAAATGACTTTCGTTTGTTTTTGCTGCTCCTGTTGTTGTTTTCGTTGTTATTGTTTTCATTGCGTGAACACACACACACGGACACAGGCACAAGATCATACGCGCACATGCTAACGAAATTGACTCATTACAAACTATTATAAACTTATTTTTAGTATACTAATAGCTTCTAAAAAAACCTTTTTCATTACCGTAAGACACACTTATATATATTTTGTCAAAATATATGATTGATTTTATAAATAATGTTCGTCCTTCAAGGCTGTGGGGGTATAAATATACAGGCCGTCCCCTCGCCTTTAATTAAGATCATTAAATAGTGGGATAATCTCTCTCTCTCTCTCTCTCTCTTTATCTTCTCGTTTTCTTTCTGTATTCGCCCTTTAATATTTGTTAAGGGCCACACCCTGCCTGAATGTGCTCCCTTTGCTCCGCTATTGGTTTCCCTTCCCATTTGTATTGGCACGACTCCCCACCCTTGTTTACAACTGTTCTTGAGATAGTTCTCACGATGTTTGCATCATGATGTTCTAAGATAGGATTAGGGTGACACCGTCAGTCTCTCCCTTCTCTTTCCCTTTTGGCATGTGTGTCGATCCCGGGGTGGGGGGGGGGGGATGGGGGATATATCCCCCCAATATTTCAGGTGGGGGGGGGTGGCCTGTACAATCATCCCCCCCCCAATAATTCACCATCAAAAAAAAAATGAAGAGAAAAATTAATGATGAGAGCCCGATGAGAGTAGTTAATGGTTATTAATCGCAAGATGACCATCAATAATACACATTTTGCTATCTCATTTTCATAATACATACATATATAAATAGAAAACGAAGTTAATGAGACAACCGTATATGAGATTATTATATCACAACTTAGTTTTGTTTTATTGAAAAGCTGATGTAGGCCTATGTATTGTATTCAAACATAACAGGCATAAGATAGTTAAGGTTTTTCTGAAGGTTAGAATGTTATTAAGTTTGAAGTTTTGTTTATAACACCCTTCCAATAATAATGCACCTTCTAAGAATGCCACATCACTAAGATTATTTTGAGGATTTTGCTTTTGACAGCAAGAAGTAGAATAAGTTATAGTTTTTGAGAAAAAATAGTGCTCCTTAGGGGAATATTATGCTTATATTTTAGAGCAAATCTGGTATGAAAAGTATATCTGGGTGAAGAAGGAGATAATGGAAGTTTGTTGTTTGATAGTTGGAACGTAAGTTTTATATTATGTTAAGAAACAGACAGTTTGTATGAGGAGTGGAAATTTTCTGTCATTTGGAGAACCAAATTTTGCATCAGTGATATTCTGTTTCATTGAATTGAGTTCCCCGCAGAGAGGATTCAGTTGGTTTAATTAAAGAAGGAAGAGAGTCAAATGAAGAACCAAAAGCAATATGTTTTTCATTTACTAATGAGAACTATAGTTTTTTTTTAGATCTCCTTACACAGAATATTACAATGGGTTTTTCACGATGAATGTTGTTTGGAGTCATGAATATTCATAACATGTATGTTTCTTTCACCAGGAATTAAAGAATTTTCTGTCTACATGAACCTTTCCTGGTTACTTTTTAATGCATTTGCCCACTGGTAAAATAATACTTTCAGAACTTGATATCCCTCACCATCGTCTAAATTTCGTTTAAAATTAGATGATATCGGTCTGGTAGGCCTACACTGCAGGCAAGAGCCAGGACTAACATTTAGCATGTTATTCATTTTATTACCACTCTTATATTCTCTGAAATGTTATCTTTATTGAGGGTGACTTTAGATCTCCTTATACAGAATATTACAATGGGTTTTTCACGATGAATGTTGTTTGGAGACATGAATATTCATAACATGTATGTTTCTATCACCAGGAATTAAAGCATTTTCTGTCTACATGAACCTTTCCTGGTTACTTTTTAATGCATTTGCCCACTAGTAAAATAATACTTTCAGAACTTGATATCCCTCACCATTGTCTAAATTTCGTTTAAAATTAGATGATATCGGTCTGGTAGGCCTACACTGCAGGCAAGAGCCAGGACTAACATTTAGCATGTTATTCATTTTATTACCACTCTTATATTCTCTGAAATGTTATCTTTATTGAGGGTGACTTTAGATCTCCTTATACAGAATATTACAATGGGTTTTTCACGATGAATGTTGTTTGGAGGCATGAATATTCATAACATGTATGTTTCTATCACCAGGAATTAAAGCATTTTCTGTCTACATGAACCTTTCCTGGTTACTTTTTAATGCATTTGCCCACTAGTAAAATAATACTTTCAGAACTTGATATCCCTCACCATTGTCTAAATTTCGTTTAAAAATAGATGATATCGGTCTGGTAGGCCTACACTGCAGGCAAGAGCCAGGACTAACATTTAGCATGTTATTCATTTTATTACCACTCTTATATTCTCTGAAATTTTATCTTTATTGAGGGTGACTTGAAAAAACTAATAACTTGGGAGGGAGGGGCAGGCGCATAGCCAGGTGTGGCGATGGGGGCGGTCGCCCCAAAAAACGCCTGCCAAAAAGAAAAAAAAAGAGAAAGAAGAAACAAAGAGGACGTCTTTCTCTAATAATTTAATGAAACGTCAAGCGGGGAAACTGAATTCAGACAAGGATTTAGAGTCGAGACCGGTTCAACGAATCGTCTTCTTTCTCTAATAATTTAATGTAACGTCAAAGCTTCCGCGCTTCGCGCGGGAGGAGGGGGGGGGGGGGGACTGAACTCAGACAAGGATTAAGAGTCAAGAATGGTTCAACGAATCGTTTTCTTTCTTTAATAATATTACGAAACGTCAAAGCTTCCACGCTTCGCGTGGGAGTGGGGAAACTGGATTCAGACAAGGATTTAGAGTCGAGAACGGTACAAGAATCGTCTTATTTCTCTAATTTAATAAAACGTCAAATCTTCCGCGCTTCGCGCGGGAGGAAGGGGGGAATTGAATTCAGACAAGGATTAAGAGAAGAGAATGGTACATCGAATCGTGTTCTTTCTTTAATAATCTAATGAATCGTCAGAGCTTCCGCGCTACGCGCGGAGGAAGGGGAACTTGATTCAAACATGGATTAAGAGTCGAAAATGGTACATCGAATCGTCTTCTTTTTTTAATAATCTAATGAAACATGACTGTGCGATTACAAGGGCATCCTATGAATATCTCCATAATTCAGGTATATGCACCAACAGCAGATGCACCGGAGGAAGAAATCACTGACTTCTACGAGATGGTACAAGATGTCGTAGACAGCATTCCTAGGAAAGATTTCCTCATAATATTGGGTGACTGGAATGCCAAGATTGGTAAAACGAGGGAAAAATCTGAGTACATTGGCAATTATGGTCTTGGCATCAGAAATGAAAGAGGTGATCGACTGGAAGAATTTTGTGTAGCGAACAGCTTCATCATTGGTAACACAAGGTTTGAGCATCATCCCAGAAGACTCTGGACATGGATGAGTCCGGGAGACAGAGCCAGAAACCAGATAGACTACATCATGGTCAAGAAGAGGTGGCGGACCTCACTACAGAACGTCAAGACAAGACCAGGTGCTGACTGTGGCAGCGATCATCAGCTGCTTGAGGCTAAACTGAGACTAAGACTGAAAGCTAAGAAATGTGATTCAGCTCCCACAACGTATGATGTTGAAAATATCCCTTTTCAATTCTCAGTGGAAGTGAAGAACAAGTTTGAGCTGCTGTTGAGAAACGATGAAGCAGAGCAAACACCGAATGAGCTGTGGGAAGACATGAAAGAAACAATTGAAAATGCAACAAAGAACCACATCCCAAAGAAAAGGAAGCGGAAACAACCATGGATCTCAAATCAGACTTTCGACATTGCTGATGACAGGAAGAGAGCAAAAGCAAAACACAATAGAGGAGAATGGTCGAGACTCAATAAGGAAGTTACAAGTAGTGTGAAGGAGGACAAAAGGAAATACATCGAGGGGAAGTGTGAGGACCTAGAGCGTCACAATAACAACTCCAAGGCAGCATTTGCAATTGTGAAAGAAATCACAAAGAAAAGAACCCCAAGACTGGATGTAATTAATGATGACAATGGCAAAACACTGACGGAAAATGAAGACATCAAGAAAAGATGGGTGCAGTATAGTACCAAGCTGTTTGCTGCACAGGAACAAGTTGACACTCAGTGGGAGGAAAGTGATGAAATGGAGCCCCCTCCATTAAGATCAGAAGTGGAGTTTGCAATGAAACAACTGAAGAATGGCAAATCCCCGGGCTTTGACAACTTGACTTCCGAGATGTGGAAGGCTACAGGTGAAGAAGGTACTGACCTGATGTGGCGTCTATGTTGCAATATCTGGAAAAGTAGGGAGTGGCCTAAGGACTGGTGTAGGGATGTTTTTATACCATTGCCAAAGAAGGGAGATCTGAAAGAATGTGCAAATCACCGAACGATCAGCTTGATTTGCCATGCAAGCAAAATACTTCTGAAGTTGATTAGCAGAAGAATGAAAATCAAACTGCAAGCCGAGATCACAGATGAGCAAGCAGGGTTCCGTGAAGGTAGAGGGACAAGAGAACAGATCGTCAACATTAGAAACATAATAGAGAAATGCAGAGAACACAGACATCCCCTCTATTTGTGCTTTATAGATTATAGCAAAGCATTTGACTGTGTGAGCCACTCTCAATTGTGGAATACAATGGCAAAGATGGGGTTCCCAAGTCACATCATCGAACTGATCAAAAACCTCTATCATGACCAAGAAGCAAACAGTGAGAACCAGTAACGGCAATACTGAGTGGTTTGGAATTGGTAGGGGAGTACGTCAAGGATGCATACTGTCTCCGAACCTTTTTAACATTTATTCTGAAGACATTATGAGAAATGCTCTGGAAGGATTCAATGGGGGAGTCAAGTTTGGAGGTAAAAAGATCACGAACCTAAGGTATGCTGACGACACTACTCTTGTTTGCAGCAGCAGAGAAGAGCTGATGGATTTGTTAAACCGCATCAAACAGGCAAGTGAAGACAAAGACCTTCTTCTGAACACCAAAAAGACAAAAATAATGGTTGTCGATAGAGATGATAATAACACTGACTTCACCATAGCTGCAAATAAGATTGAAGTAGTAAATCGGTTCGAGTACTTGGGTTCAATCATCACTACCAAAGGAGAGAGCACCACAGAGATAAGGAGAAGGATGGCAATGGCGAGATCAACAGTACAGAATATGTCTCACATCTGGAAGAGTCGAGGCCTATCTCTCAGTCTCAAGGTTCGTCTGCTTCAAGCAACTTCTTTCTCTATTGCGACTTACGGGAGTGAGTCCTGGGCCATGACAAAGAATGACAGAAAGAGAGTTGATGCCTTTGAAATGTGGTGCTACAGGAGGCTGTTGCATGTGTCATGGAAAGATAAAAAGACAAATGTGTGGGTCCTGGAAAAGATTGGAACAGACTTGACCATCAGAAGGGGAATCATGAAGAGAAAACTAAACTATTTTGGACACATTGTTAGGAGATCTGAAGGAGTTGAGAAGCAAATACTGCAAGGAGCAGTCGAAGGAAAACGGGGTAGAGGTCGTCCACCAATATCTTGGACTGATGATATCAAGAAAGTGTCTGGACAAGGAATGAATGGTGCAACACAAATGGCAGGTGAAAGAGTTGCATGGCGTGCTCTCGTGAAGACCACAGCAGCGCTTTACAGCGCCACCTGAAGTTGATGATGATGATGAAACATCAGAGCTTCCGTGCTACGCGCGGAGGAATGGGAACTTAGTTAAAACAAGGATTAAGAGTCGAGAACGGTCCGACGAATCTTCTTCTTTTTCTAATAATCTAATGAAACTTCAAAGCTTCAGCGCTTCGCCGGGGAGGAGTGGGAACCCCCCCCCCCTCCCTGCACCCTACCCCCTAGGGAGTGCTCTTTAAGTGATACGCACGCTGCGCGTGCTCACTACCGCCCCCCCTAAAATGAAATGCTAGCTATGCGCTTGGGGAGGGGGTGCAACCTGCCACACGCTTCTACCTCTTGGTTGCTTTGATCCATTGCCGAAAATATTTTGGCACCTATCATCCCCCCCCCCCCCAACCACGGATACAAATCGACACCCTTGCCTTTTGGTGTCTGCAATTCCTTAAGTAAATATTTTAATAGCTTGCGAAATCTTCATGTGAGAGAATACGTTTGAAGATTGATTGATTGATTTTTATTCGATTGATTGATTGATTTTTATTCGACAAGCTTCCAACATACAACAATATACAATAATAACAGATCAAAAATAAGTCAGCTTGAACAGGATAACCCACGAAAGCTCGAGAGCTTATTTCCAGTGGGGTCCCTTACAGACATGTATACAATTAATAAGTTAAAATAGTATTATTTACAGACAGATAAGAAAATTAAAAGAACTACTTATTAAAGATAATGATAATAATAACAACATTAAACTGATGATAGAAATGATATTAAGTACAAGAAGAAAAAGAAGAAGGAGAAGAAGAAAAAGAGGAGAAGGAAGAAGAGGAAAATAATGATGAATTTGTAGAATTTCTATAACGTACGAAAACATATTCGTATTCTGCGTTTCTTATGTTAGAAATCAAAGCTTGAAAATCAAATATTGTTTTATGAAGGATTTATATGCTATAAATCCAAAGCAAATTGACTTTCGTTTGTTTTTGCTGCTGCTGTTGTTGTTTTCGTTGTTATTGTTTTCATTGCGTGAACACACACACACGGACATAGGCACAAAATCACACTCGCACATGCTAACGAAATTGACTCATTACAAACTATTATAAACTTATGTTTAGTATACTAATAGCTTCTAAAAAAACATTTTCACTACCGTAAGACACACTTATATATATTTTTTTCAAAATGTATGATTGATTTTACAAATAATGTTCGTCCTTCAAGGCTGTGGGGGTATAATTATGCAGGCCGTCCCCACGCCTTAAATTAGGATCATTAAATAGAGGGATAATCTCTCTCTCTCTCTATCTCTCTATCTTCTCGTTTTATTTCTGTATTCGCCCTTTAATATTTGTTAAGGGCCATACCCTGCCTGAATGTGCCCCCTTTCCTACGCTACTGGTTTCCATTCCCCTTTGTATTGACATGACTCCACATCATTGTTTAAAAAAGTTCTTGCGATAGTTCTCATGATGTTTGCATCAAATTTCGGAGATAGGATTAGGGTGACACCGTCAGTCTCTCCCTTCTCTTTCCCTTTTGGTGTCTGCAATTGCTTAAGTAAATATTTTAATAGCTTGCGAAATCTTTATGTGAGAGAATACGTTTGAAGATTGATTGATTGATTTTTATTCGACAAGCTTCCAACATACAACAATATACAATAATAACAGATCAAAAATAACAGGATAACACACGAAAGCTCGAGAGCTTATTTCCAGTGGGGTCCCTTACAGACATGTATACAATTAATAAGTTAAAATAGTATTATTTACAGACAGATAAGAAAATTAAAAGAACTACTTATTAAAGATAATAATAATAATAACAACATTAAACTGATGATAGAAGTGATATTAAGTACAAGAAGAAAAAGAAGAAGGAGAAGAAGAAAAAGAGGAGAAGGAAGAAGAGGAAAATAATGATGAATTTGTAGAATTTTTATAACGTACGAAAACATATTCGTATTCTGCATTTCTTATGTTAGAAATCAAAGCTTGAAAATCAAATATTGTTTTATGAAGGATTTATATGCTATACATCCAAAGCAAAATGACTTTCGTTTGTTTTTGCTGCTGCTGTTGTTGTTTTCGTTGTTATTGTTTTTATTGCGTGAACACACACACACGAAATTGACTCATTACAAAATATTATAAACTTATTTTTAGTATACTAATAGCTTCTAAAAAAACATTTTCACTACCGTAAGACACACTTATATATATTTTGTCAAAATATATGATTGATTTTACAAATAATGTTCGTCCTTCAAGGATGTGGGGGTATAATTATGCAGGCCGTCCCCTCGCCTTAAATTATGATCATTAAATAGATGGATAATCAAATAATAATAATAAGTAATAAGGTTGTGTATTGCATGATAGACCGATTCACATATGACATACATTTCTGAACGACCCAAGAATTAGGCAGAGATATACCGCAGAAAGCAAATCCTAAAGCAATCCCAATGTAACATGCATGTATTACAATACTAACTCGTGAGTAATACCCGACTAGTCACACCAACAACACCACCACCAGACCGACACCAGATCGAACAAAATAACGTTACTCCTGTGGCCAACAGTCAGTCCCCATGTATAATTTCAGTGTGACTTGGGCATAACTTGTGATCTTGTTCACTCCTACCGTAGTCACACCAACGGCAACGACACTAGAGCGAAAAAAGGATTCATGAAAAAATATACATGTCTGAACTGGCCTATTGGCTAATAACCATAATGCGTACACGTTACTAATTAGAGTTATCTTCAATATCTTCACTCAAGGGAACATAAATATCAGAAGTGGATCATTGGCGACTTCTGTCTAGGCGCACCCTGTGCTCCAATCTCATTCCTGCAGTTATGTTTAAACTTGACGATCTCCTCAAGAAGCTAGGTGAGTTTGGTCCCTACCAGCGCAGGGTGTTCGCCATCACCTGTACCATAGTCTTCTTCTCCTCATGGGTGTCAATGATTCCAGTCTTCCTGGCGGCTACAGTCGATCACTGGTGCGAGGTAAGTTTGGATTCTTTGTCCCTTACAAATCGGGCACATCTTCCATAAAATTTCAAGCTAATTATCAAAGAGGTCAACATTTGATTCAAATGCAGAAATAAAGAATCTCTGTCTTGTAAAAATTACATCTATAGTTTTGGTGTTTTGGAAACGCGGTATAAGATTCGAGGTATCATCTTCATTTGGCCGTTGGTATCGTAGTCGTGAGCTATCTTGATAGTACTTATAAGTCAGTTCGAAAGAAATATTATAGAACAAAAGTATTCCTGAAAATAAACAACTAAAAAGTTTGGAACAAACTGCCATGCCATATGCCGTAGTGTCTACGATTTGAAACCCATTCGGCTGGTATTAGTTTAAATGCATTTAAATTCCGGTTGTTAGCATTCTGATCATTATTAAGAACCTAATTCAGGAAGATGATGTTTGTTTAGATTTCTATATCTAATATAATTGTAAATTTCTTCGAAAATAGGATCGCATTATAAAGATATTTTTTAGTGTGCGGAAGGCTTTAGATATATCATATCTTTATCTATATCCACCTTCTACAGACCCCCGAATGGACTCCTGGATGTGAGCAATACGGGTTGTCAGAGGAAGCTTGTGCACTAGCCCAGAAGGAAGGTAGCATCCCATCAAACTACACATCAGATGGTGAGCTGGAGTACGCACAATGTGAGAAGTATAACGTGTCAGGAGTGGGATTCTGGCCTGGGATCGATCCATCCAATTACAGCAGCGAAACGATGTCATGTGACAGTGGATGGGTGTATGATGACTGCAAATACGACACGATAACAGTGACGGAAGAAAGATCTTTCATTAAACATAATTCCTCCCCCATACACACCTTTCATGAATATGTGAATATATTAATCAAATTGAACAATAATTGAATACACTCTAGTATGTTACACTAATCTCCAGATGATAGTTCTTTGCTTATTCGTACAATACAGAAGTACTTTTAATATCCGTTATATTGATTGTATTGTATTGTATGGAATTAATTCAAACATTCAGTAAAAACAAAATATATGTCTGGGGATGCAGCAA